ATCTCCTCAAATGCCACATTTTTAAAATTCCATCACCACAACTAAAAGTTTCCACTGAACTACAACTGAACGGATCCCAGTGAGATCCTGACATTAACGCTCGCTGTGCTCACAACCCCGGGGAGTGCAGAACGCTCGCTCAGACAGGGAATTCCTGCATCAAGACCCGGACGCTGAGTAACGCAGCCCGCGCGGGACGGCAGCACACACAGCCCTGCCACCACCACCGCGTCACCTGGAATAGTTCAGAAAGCAGACACGGAAAAACATCATTCAACCCCAGATAGTCAGCTCAGGGGTATCTGAGACAGAAGCATGAATCTCCCACAAGACCTGGCCCAATAAATCCTTCCCCCTGCTTTTCTAGAGAGGCGCTGCACAAAGTGCCTGTGTAGCACAGCTGCGCAGGGTAAAATATGATAGAAGACACCAATAAAAATAAACTTCAATTTTAAGATCAAAGCTTGTTTGACAGTTAACCTGCTGGTTAATTCTTAAGCTGTTACAAATAACTAAAGCTGCCTTCTTTTTTTTTAAAAAAAAATAATAGGAGCAGAATGGCAATAAAGATTATTTCAGCCAGAGAGACTCCTTTAAGGCTAACCATTTTTTCCTACTGGTCTCTTATCTCAGAGATGGAAACTCATCCTATTTTGAGGAGATTCCTATTTCAAGGACTAAGCTAAAATGTAGGCTTGCAACTGCCTTTACCCACTAGTGTGTGGGTTTATTCAGATCGCGGGGAAAGAACCAAGATCCTACAACATTTCTCATCTTCAAAAGCATCTTTGTTGGTTTTGGAAACACCTGAAAGAAATGCTAAATTAACAACAGCTTTACAACTTGCCCTCCTTTCCAACACAACCACTGTGCTCTGAAAGCAGCCTCAAGAGGTTTTTCTAGTAACCTGTCACTCCACGCACAGCAATGACCCGTGAGCTCATCTTCCCCGAAGTGGGTCACGAGATGCTTAACCATGGGATGTTTTCAAAGCAGTATTAAACTTTTAGAGGCATTGAGTTTTCCTCCTGGCGTGAGGAGCTGCAGCCTGACAGCAGCTGGGGACTTTGAGCTGGAATGCACCCAGCTGGAATGTGGCAGGGAGAGATGCTGGGATGAATTTGCAGCTGCAGCAACGTGTAGCTGGGAGCTGCAGAGACCACAGAGCTCCTTGGAGACAACTCGCACCGCGAGGGGATCTTTTCACTTACAGTCTCCCCTAAGATAACATTAAAAACTTACGCAGAAGCACAACTTAACCCTATGGCTCTTGCTACACTTGGCCCACATCAGATGAAGCCAAAGGATTAAAGCACACCCCTCACCTCCACTTACCTTGTCTCCAGTGTCAGCACTATACACGCCTTGCACCGGGTACGGGCAGAGAAGTTTCAAGCCTAATAGCTTCTCTCCAATTTAAATATTTTTTACTTTATTATGACTTTCTCTGACAAAGAGTTGTCTAGCATCAAGTATTCCGTCCTACAAACTCAGGACACTGATAACAATCACCTCCCAGTCCCTCTCTTGGTAATAGCTCTGTAGTGTCTGCTTAGCTCCCAGCCAGTCCCCCTCCAGGATCTCTCCCGAAAAACAAAACTGGAAATAGTGCAGGGACTGTTCTCCAGCAAACACAGAGCTGCAGCGTGAGCGCAGCCTTCTGCAGGTGGGACAGAGCTCTAGGAAGCGAAGAGGGGAGAAACATTCTTCTAGTTTCCCTTCATGGGTAAGGAGAGGCAGCGCTACGGAGGCTGACCCAAATCTCCAGTGAGCTGAATTGCCTTCTAGAAGTATTTATCTTGCCCTACAGACTATGAAGGAAGATAAGGGCAAGCAGATACTTTATTTAGGCACCTTTATTAAGAACCTAAAATTAGGCAAGACCAATCTGGGCCACCTCCTTTTGTCAGGCACCCTGCACAGAGGGCAAATGCACCGAAACAGATTTTCTAGAGGCCACTCGCTGCCAAGGATCTGCAGTGACTTTATCACACCAAGAATGATTATTTTATGTTTCTTTGTGACATTCCCTAAGTCTCTACATGTTCGTTCTGTGACCGTGTTTCCTGCCCTTCACTATCAGGTAATTCTTTGGGGCCGAAAGCTCCTGCCACGCCAAGAGTATCAGCAGCTTCTCCAACTAATCTGCTTGGTTCACTTTCTACTTGGGGTTTGTCCTCTGGTAATTGGTTTTCTCCATCTGTGCTTATTTTGTAACTAGTGAACAAAGGACATTTTTTGAGTTCCAACTGGAATTACAAAGTAAACTGATCCATACTCAGCTCATGTTGAGCCCTATTGCTGTTTCTTTCTTTGCACTTACCATGTACGTAGCATAACCCCAATACCCTACTTTAAAGATATTACTTTGTAAGCAAAAAAAAAAGTATTATAAAGTAGTGCCATATCTTAAAATCTCAATATTTAGAAAGCAACTAAATCAACACACCTAAAAGTCAAGCCCCCTTTATGCTACCTCAAAAGACAATTCCCAAGGCTGCTCACCTGGGGTATTTCAATCAAAAATGACCAAAGCATTATTTATATCCTCTAACTTAGCAATATGACTCACCCTGGCCTGTGCCAGTATTGCCAGGCATTATAAGGTGATTTTTGGGAGACTGGCTGGCTTAATTAGCCACTATATTAGGCCTCATGTTGACATAACAAAATACACTTTCTTCATCTCTTAGTGCCCAAAGTACTACCTGCACACCGGTTTGGCTCCTGAAGAGAAAGCGTATCTGTCTTCAGGCTTATAAAGGCATAAAAATATAAAATTCTATTTACTCAAATAAACATGGAATTAGAAATCTAAGTTTAGAGCAGTGTTTAGTCTCTCGGCACTGGCACAAAGCTCTCAGTCTTACATTGCTAGAGAAGGAGGAAAAATTTTTTTGGTTGATTCAAAAATAAGTTTTGGGAGCAAGTAAAAGTGTTTGCAAGTTTCCAGTAGAATTCAGATGAGAGTTTCAAGCAAAAACAGGTTTGGTTTTTTTCCAGGGACAAATCATTCATCCCCGTATAAAAAATTTCCTTTAAAGTACCAGTGTGGTATGTTTTTTTTAATCATTGCAAAATTAAATCTTGGTTTAATTTGAAATAACATTTTTTTTTTTAAAAGAGGTAGTTAAAAAGAAAAGTTAAATAGAATTCACAAAGAAAAATAATTTCCAAGTGATGCATGCACAGCTCATCCAAAGCGATTCTGTCCTCTTTTCACTTGATACTGAGCGAAATGCCCACTCGCTCTGGTTTCCGTCACAGAACAAACATTCTGTTCACTTGCCTCGATCACATCCAACCCAAGTAGAGCACATTTAGCAGTACCAGGGTCTTTCATAAGAAATAGTTTTACTATTCGGAACTAGTCTAATAATTCATAAATACTCTAATTTCAAATGCAGAGGATATGAGAATGTTTTCAGCTCACTAAAAAAACCCAACCAACCAACAAGTGAAGCTAGTAAAAAGTGTTAAAATCTAATAAAGTGAACAGCTCATGACTATTTGTTACATAAACTACTCAAATGGTACAGTAGAGCCCCGTTTTTAAATAACTCACACGAGTAGTTGTCCTCCTTCCTAGAGAGATCACTAGAGAGCACTGTCAGACTGCCCCTGACATTCACCAAATGGCAGGGATCAAAGGGAAGGAGAAAAGGATCAGGTATTCTTTGTTGGGAATTAACCCTCAGCAGCTGGTACCTCACACCCACGCAAATGACTTGTGAGCAGCCGGGGGCTTTCCACCCTCCCTAAAAATTCTCTGCTTTTCCAAGAGCTCGAACACGTCTCTCATTCATACAACCTTCAGCTATCATTGCAGTGTTTCCTAGCAATACCTCAGTACTGGGCTAAAACAGGATAACCCAGCTTTGAAAATGTTTGGACAAGCTTTTGGTCTGACTGCTGAAAGGAATAGGAGTTAGATGCAAAATTCGAATTGAGGAAAGAATTTTTCAGAAGTTTTAGGGCTTCTTTCATGAAGTTTTTGCTCTATTATTAGCTCTTTGCTTAAATTTAAACACGGGTATCTGCAATTAGCACAACCCTTACGCTCCAGGGAAGAGCACAACAAGCAGCCTCACCAAGCTTTGTAATCACGGTAAGTTAGAAACTCCCAAGAGGTACCACGCTACGTGCTGGGTACGGCCGTAGTTTTACTAATCAGCAAGAAACTTAAGCAAATGATATTTATGTTTTCAACATTTTCTTGATACTGCCAGTTATCTTCACATATCCATATCTTTCACATTGCACCTTGTGCCATCTCATTACTCCTATTTATGAAGTCTGGCTGAATTTTGGGAAAAAAAAAAAAAGTGTTGTGTGGGCCAAAATGCAAATGCCTGTTCTATCAAGAGCACAGACACTGTATGTAGGTCTGGAATAAAAAGGGAGAACCTACACTGTTACTTAAAAAATTCAAATTATGGCAAGTAAAGCTTGCAACCATAGAAAAATCTCTGAACAGATTTGTGCAGGAATATTTTCTAACCTATACCTACACCCATTACCATTAATGACAGTTCTAAAAATAAAGGTCACAGCTAGGACTGAGATGAAAGATGGAAGAAAGCTCTCACTGTTTTAGAAAACAGAAGATACTTTAAATGATTTATCCAAATATGTAAGTTAAGCACTAACTTGAAATCTGGATAGTCACATCCACCTGGGGGGAACAGGCAATCTTTTCTTAAAAACATTTAAAAAAAAAAAATAGAAAGAAAAGAATTATTTTCTTGGACAGCATTCAGTAACCAATACGTTTCAAAGTTTTGCCAGAATTAAGAGGTGCGTACTTAAGCTTTTTGTCCTAGAGCTTTGTACAAGAATATAGAAGAATTCAAAGTCAATCCAAGGAATTCCACAACCTTCAGTGCACAGGGGCAGGAACACTACCTAGATCTCGGGTTTAACAAAACTGACACGTCAAAGCAGCCAGTACATGTGACGACCAATTAAAATTCTAATTCATTTTCTAAAATTTTATTCAGCAAGCTCAGTTCTAGAAGGAGAAGAAACTGCAACAACTGATTTGCGAGAGAGAAATTACACAGAATTTGAGGAATTACCAACCCTGGTGAGTATCAGCCAAATAAAGGTTCCTTTTGGTTCACCTCACTTCCCATTCCTGGTATCATCTTGTGGCTTAGACTTTGAATAGCCATTATAACCTTGAGTTCTAACATTAAAAGTGATTTAACTCGAATGCTTCTGCTTTGCAAGCAGTCGCGTTGAAGGTGACAAAGTTGAAAACGTTTTTCACAACTGTTCTGTGCTGCAAAATGCATTAACAGCCTGCTTCTTCACTGCCTGCTCGCTCTAATTCAGTACCTCTCCATCAGCTTCATGGAAACTACACTAACAATCTAGTGTAAAAAAAAATAAATCCCAAAACCACAAAACCAAGCAAACAAACCCACAAAAGAAGGCCGGTCTGCAATATCCTGCAGTCCTCTCCTATACCTTTTGTAGTCTGACACAGAGGTCACTCAGTCTCAAAGGCCTCTAGCTGGGAAGAAAAATCCATTTACTCTGAGGTTGTAGGTTGGGGTTTTTTGGCCATTGCACAGAAATCAAAGATGAGAGGCAACAGGTAAAAAAACATCCACAGGGCACCTGATAGGCCATGAAATTTAAGTGCTTATTTCACACACATAGACTGAATGCATTGTGGTTTTCTTTCCCTTCTTTCTCCCCCCGCTCCAATTCTTGTAGTTGCCCACAAGCCCACCCAGTGTAACCCATCTCTTGCAGTTCGGACAGCTGATGACCACAGAAAGTGCGTTTGCCCCAGCCGATGTCAGCGACAATGCCACCGGTTATGAAGCTAACACACCAAGCGTGGATGGTAACAACATCTTTTCACTTCTCTTTTGTCAAACTTCTAAAGCCACCTGCTAATATTCGAAAAACTCAAATACCAAATTTCAGGTATGTTTTTGTGTCTGCTTGTGCACAGAAGCACGTGTGGGCACAAATACACGGGCACCTGCTCCACGTGGCTTTGGGACCATAATTGTTCCTAGGGGGTCACTCCTGTGCATTCCAGTAAAATCTAAGAGAACACAAGCATCCCACTTTCTGCTCTGGCACTGCGGTCCTGTAACAATATCAATGAGCCGTCACAAGTTTAGCAAGCCTCGCTTTAAAATGGTCAGATGAGCCCTCAGGAGAAAAGAGGTCTTTGGTTCCCGAACAGCTGTTTAACAACTAAATGTAAACTTACATGGGGCCTGAATACGTGAAGGACGGTTCTCTTGTCCCTGTGAACAGCAGTAGCTGTTGCCAACAGGTGCTCAGAGTGCACGTTACCCCAGGTACAAACTCAAGATCAGATCACGAGTATTGGGACTCTGGGAGGCTCACAGGTAGGTCAGACTCACCCATCAGCCGAACGGCAGTCTGTCAGTCACACTGCCAGTCGGTTCTTAGCCTACAGGCCTGGCTTTGAAACCGGCTGTCAAATCCAATCTGGTGGCCGTTCTATTGCTGCAAAGTTCTGCAGAATGATTCCAGAATTAGAGAAGTACACGGAACAGATTTTGTGCAAAAACTTCCATAGACAAAAAACTACTTAAGGGACTTGAGGAACTTTTAAACACACAAACCAGCTTTCAGCAACTACACCAAGAGCAAGGCAAAATTTTATCAGCATACATCAGTCTCAAACAATTAAAATCTGATTTCCGTCTTAGTTATAATTATTTCATACCAGGTATATCCTTACTGATCTTAAGGTGATCACACTTCAGTTTCACAAGTATACGGTAGATTACAATCAGTTCCTTAGATTTAATTTCTGTTACTTTAGAGCTCTTTGCGCTCCTCTCAAGCTTTTCCTTTGCCATCAAACCAGCACGATATAGTCAAGATTTCCTTGATATTGTAAACTGGGATGTAAAACTCTCTGTGAAGCAAATGAGTAACTACAGAATTTTTCTCTTTCTGGCTTTCCAGGTGGACTGAGCAGAGATGCAGAGAAAACTGAGAAAGGTATTAAACAGAGTCGCTCATACAGACAAGAGAGAATTTAAGTGCCAGGCTGTGCCCTTCTAGAAGCCGCCAGCTATGCCTGTGCTATTCTGAAACAAAGGGATTTGGCACAGCCACAGCCTGCTCCCTGATCGGCCCCTCCAGTTCACTGGGTCACAGGGAGCCCCGGGGCCCAGGGGCACATGGCGGGGCCTGCAGGCTGCCCGCAAGCCCGCTGAACCTCCGGCAGAGTTCACAAGATAAGGAAATCTCCCCCCAGGAGTGGGGTGCAGCAGGAGAGCGTCAGTTCCAGCAGTAGCCCCTCAGCAACGGTCTCAGAGAGAAACGTGCTAACGGTCCCCATTTCCTCTTTCAGGTGGTCTGGAGACAATTGCACTGGTTGGAATAATTATCGGAATCATAGTTGCAGTCGGAATCCTCGCAGGAGTAATAATTGCTGTTGTAAGGAAGATGTCAGGCAGGTACTCGTAAGTAAATTGCTAATCAGACTTCTCAAACACACATCATTCTTTGAGCAAGGAATAGCCCTGGGAATTTCTAACGCCTCTGATTTGACAAAGCAGGCTATTGGCATGTTATCCCGCGCCTGCTGGTTCAGGAGGCGCTGCCAGGGGTACACGGGGGATCTAACCCCCTAACAGGCTTCAGAAAAAAATCTGCCAGATACTGCAGGCGTGGAGTTAGGATATTCACCACATGCACGGGTTTGGGATTACTCTGCTGCACAGAGGTCAAAGTCATTCTGAAGTATTACAGGGCCGACTTCTGGAAGTGCTGGATAACATCTGAAAAAGGAATCTTTGGCTTACGGCTCCGGATGTTTGGGGAAGCTGTTTTTATACCTACAAGATTCACTGGCACCACACCAATCTAAAGCGCTTTATGAACTCCAAAGGAGTAAGAAAACCACTCTACATGTAACAAATACTATTCACCCAGCATTAAGAAAATAGGAACTGGGAAGAGAAATAGAGCAGTGACAATTAAGGCAAGGAACAATAAAATTTGTGTTTCTTGATTTACAGGCCCTGAAAATAGTTGAAATGAGCAACCGTGCCATTGTACGTGAGAAAATACAAGTGTGTCTTATAAGAACTAAAAGACTATTTCTGTATCGGTGTGCGAAGATGATCCATGGAAAATATGGTTGAAGAATTCCAGATCTATGGGGATCCCACACAACTCTAAGGACTCCACCAGCCTCCCCCCAGCTACAGCGTACGGAACATTCCACAGGATTTTTGCTAACCACAAGTTTACTAGTAGCATTAAAAAGATTATGCAATAAGAGAAAAAGCAGCAGCAATGAGATCTCCATCTGAAATGTGATTTGCAGGTAATACATGCTAGCTTGACTTTTAAATGCTACCAAAGATTATTTCACATTACATTTCATGTATTTAGAAAACATATCCAGAATCCTAAGTGGTTTTGGCTGGTTAAGTGCTTGTGGCATGTTTTTCTGCCAAATGACGTATCAAAAGGAAGAATTAGCTTCAGAGAGAACCAATTATTTACGAATTTAGAAAATACTAGCTATTGGAAGCTAAAAGTCTTTCTGCTATTGATACAGATTTTCTTCTCTTGACATTTATGTTATTACATGGCAAAATATGGCAGGCCCAGCTGGAACTGACCTGCCAACTGAAAGCTTGCTCATCCGACTCTCAGACCAGGAATTTCCTGTCTTCTCTTGTTGCAGAGACACACAGGGACTGAAATACATATCCTGAGTTAAAGGATGCTTGGAAAATACCCAATTTTGATGGGTCGCTTTAGCCAGTTACTCGGCACGCTTCTGAGCTGACATGTAGAAGCTTCTGTAACTAGTGCACACTATTTTTTCTTCTGTCCCATTTTTAACGGTATTGGTGGCTTGTTTGATAACATGGGTGCAACGCTAGATCGGAATAAGTTAATGAGGTACAACGCATCTTTGGAGAACACAGCTTTTCTGTGGCACAGGTAGCTCAGCAGCCCTTGAAGGCAGAGCTCAGAACCAAGGCTCTGTATGTCAAGTGGCTGCAATGCACCAGGTTTTCTAAACTTTACGGCACTGAAGTGTTTGGTGTAAAAATCATGATAATCCATACGATGAAAAATTGCTAAACATGTCAACTTACCTAGATTTACTTTGCCATTTCTTTCCTGCACCATGAACTATCGTATCAACCTGAGCTTTGGAAATAAAAGTTATAATGTAAATTGTCTTATAATAATTGTTCTTTATTTTCTTTAAAATGTTTATATAAAGTTTTAAAATTCCTTCCATTTTCCTGTATTATTTTGCTACTTGTCAGTGCAGTGTCTGCAACCAGCTCAACTGACACTTATCAACAAAATTATTAAAACTAAACACGTGAGAAAAAATAATTAGAAGTCTTTTTAGAGCAGTTCTTAAGTTCATGTAAGGGGCCCTCAGGCTGCGGTGGCTGATGAGCAGTAAGCTTGATCTTCAGACTGGTCTGTGCTGAGGACTGCAGAGCAGATCCAAGGGTTGGGATTTCTAGATACACTGTGCCGCCTTCTCTTTTTTGTCCAGTCTCTAAATGAAGAACCTACTTTTCTGAAGTCTGAATTCAGACTTGTTGTCACTCTCAGTTAAAACATGTTTGGATACAAGGCTTTGGTTTGTAGCTCGCTGTCACTACATATAGCTGCCTCCAAACTGCTGAGCTTGTACTCCTAGGAATACTTTACCCAAAAGTCTTTCACTTCCTCACCAAAGGAGGATGCTAAACTAGAGCTTTCCCCACAGGAAAAACTTTCCCCCTGAATAACTATTCCCATCACAAGCAGTATCCGCAGGCAGGCAATTTATAATGAGACTGAAGCACCCCTTTAACTCATATACCTTGCTTTGAACTCTGCTCTGACAAACCACAATCAGGGCTGTTACACAGGGAGTGAGATGCTCAGAGCTGTGTGCCCCTGCCCAGGGATGTGACTGACATTCAGGAATTTGCCCTGTGTTTGGGTGCAGGTACTAATCCCCTGCAGCGCAACCCAGACAGCAGAGCAGACCCACCCCAGAATTTGCCCACGTAGTACAGCACCAGGAAACGTTGTGCTCACGTCCCCTCCAGCACAATCCCATTTGGTTTATTTCTGTGTACACTCGAAAGATGCATAAAAGTAAGGGGAAAATTAATGATACCACTGTACAAAGGCACGTATGCACTGTATAAAACCCTACAACTAGTTTAAGCCTCATGTATATCTTAAGTCAGCTCTTTACTGATGCAAAGTTGGTATTTGACATTTTTAAAGAACAAAATCCAAGGCCCAAAAGAGAGCTTCAAGTAGGCTGCAAAGTTTTCGCTACCTTCATTAAAGCCATTGGACCTCAAACTTATTTTTTAAAAGCATCTTTAACTTAAGTGTCGGTAAATTATTTTCCTTCTGACTCGACTCATTCTGTAGCATGCCTCATATAACAAAGTCATGCGGTTAGGATAAATTTTCATTCCTGAAAGTTCTAGTATACTAAATCAGTTATCCTTTGGGAAAGCAAGCCTGCAGTCGCTTACAGATGATCACGAGGTCCCATCCCTGAGATACAATTTGCACACACACACACCTGAACACCCTTTCCAGTTCCTGTGACTCAGTTCAGTTGAAGACACTTGGCTAGAAAGAGTTTAACTTTTCCCACTAGCATCTTTTGCCCCTGTACTTTTAGGTTACAGTACTTAAAGGTGGCCACATATTTTGTTTCCAAGTGCCCATATATTCCAGTGGTTTCTGAAAGAGAAATAAGGCCAAGGTTCATGTGTGACTGCTCTACTTGCTCGTGATTTGTGTCACATGCAGGTAAACTCATTCAAAAGCAGGAGAAGAGTTTTTTTCTGATTGGGGCAACATCAAATAATAACTTCTGTTACTCTAGATTTGACAGTTTGACTGTACCGAAAACTACCCCATAAGATGCACTTGATGTCCAACCAAATGCATGCCATATGGAATTATGAATTATTCAACCACTGCAGGGAACAGCACAGATGTCACTAGTTTCTTCTGTACCAGCTCAGTTACTGCTAACTTGCAAATACCACAAAACGAAGAAATCATTCTTAGGGCTGTTCCGAATACTGGTTAAGCCAGAAGTGACAAGACCTCATTCGAAAAGAGCGTAGCATTAGAGGAGACAACCTTTGGGGGAAGTTTTGGTGTTTCCTGGATCACGTGCAGAACACAGCTGAACAGCCTGCAGCCTGCTCATGCAAACGTGAGCTTTGCTTCGACTCCAGCATCTCTCACGAAGAGTCATTTTAACTTCGTACTACAACCAAGTTTCCTGGTCTTAACTGTGCCTTTATATTCTCACCCTTGGTTTAAGGTGTTTGATTAATCTTGGGTGAAATCAACCCCAAATCAAATGGCCCACGTTCCACTAAAACATCTGAGGGGCTTCTAGCACTGGAGGCTCAGTATTAAATATCGTGCAGTACTGAATCTGAACCTGCAAGAAAAAAAAAAGTTATTTTCTTCTGATATCGGCTGTAGTAGAGAATACTCAGTAACTGGCTAAAGAAAGCAAGGACTCTCAAGAACAAGATCTCCATGATTCCATCACCATGAAGAAACAACAACTGCTGCTACAATGAACTGGGAGGGGTGGCTGACACCCAGGCAGGCTGTGCTGCCATCCAACAAGATCTGGACAGGCTGGAGAGCTGGGCAACACGGAACCTCATGAAGCTCAATAAGGACAAGCATAAGGTCCTGCATCTGGGGAGGAATAATACCAGGC